AAATGCACCACAAAACAATTCACAATAGTTTCGATGAGTGTTTTACCCCCTCCCCGGGAATGGAAATGTAAATGGAGCAGACATTGTAAGCCCATTTTTTGTTGTTTTTCTCCGAAAGCATTTGGCTCGTGGCAATGCAGCCAGTGGAGCTACAGGGCAGCTGCTGTTGCACATGCACACATGGGAGAAAGACAAGCTAACAGTCAAGAAGAGCTAGAAGAAGAAGCAGATCTAGAAGCAGATCTAGTAGCAGAAGCAGTCGGAGTTGGGAGCTGTTAGGCAGCGACTCAGAACATTAATCTTCAGACTTTGCTCGAAATTAAAAATAATAAAGCACTAAATAGAAAATGAAGCGAGGATTGGTTGAAAGAGGGGGGACTCACTCTCTCTCTCTCTCGCTCTTGCTGTGTACAGAGGGAGAGAGAGAGAGGGATGGGTAGGGAGAGTTGTGAAGTCAAAAACGGGGCTTACTCTTAATTGAGCATCGTGAACGCAAATGCAGCAATTCGTTGTGCTTCGCCGGCTGCGGCAAAGTCGAGTGGCACAAGCTGGGGCAGGGGCAGGGGCAGGGACTGGGGCAAAGGCATGGAGTGTGCTGCTTGGTTAAAATTCTTAGCCAAAAGATGTTGCGTGCGCAGTTCACTTGATTTCCTGGGTGGGTGTCGATGGGCGCACGTGGTGGACTGCAGACAACCACAGTGACCAACCACTGACCACTGACCACTGAGCGGCACCACCAGCACCAGCAACAGCACCAGCACTAGCACCACCATCTACAGTATACCAAGCGTAACAATTGGGCGGTGGCACCACCAGCCCATCAACAGTGACCGCCCCTGCCCCCCTCAGCCACTTGACTGTTACCAAGACGTTTCCTCATTGTCTAATTAAATGGATCTGCAGTCATAGACACAGTTTGATTAGTTAACTGTTAACTGGGCACTCAGTGTGCCTAACCTCAACCTCAGCGGCCGACAACAGGTGGCGCCACGCACTAGAATCCGCCTAGAACTGCATGCAAATTTATTCCATTGTTCGATTCAATGAACAATCTTTGTTAAATGCCCCATAATCAGATTTTGAGCATAACAGAGCCAAGATAACGACGAAGAATGTGCCTCGTCTTCGTGTGTAAATGAGGTTAGGTACGACTGAAATTGAAATAATGTGATAAGTCGAGCAGTCTCTGTAAATTCTGAAAGAACTTAGATATAAGGCTTTAGCTGGGAAACGTTAAAGCGCCCAATAAGTGAGGTTAGAAACGGTTGAAACGATATGCAATGCCATACAGCAGGTATGATGCGAGTTGATATATTTGTGAAACGGATGAAGATGAAATGTGAATAGCAACATGGATAAACAATGTTTTCTAAGAGTTTGGTGGAGTTTATTGAAGTTAGGAACGATTTGAAACGAAACATTTTGTTGGAAAAGTTTATTATCAGAGTTTATAGAATGTGTTTTTAATATTCCATCGCATACCTTTTGTTTAGGTTAGGAATGCATGGAATGAAATATGTGCAAACTGCTTCATTTTTCAAAAGAAACTAAAATTTTTATTGAGAATTGATTGGCACATGTCAGCCTTATCGCATAAAGTTCAGCATGCTGCACTACAGAGGGCGCCACTTACCAATTGAGGTTGGGAATGAATGGAACTGGGGAACTTATAGTATGGCCCACAAATCGATTGCCATGTTGCTACAGCGAAAAAACTTAACCTTCTTCAATATTGTTCAGCTTAATGTACAACAGGTAGCGCCACTGCGCAGAATGAGGCTGGAATCGAATGAAGAGCAGTTTTTCTTTGTTTGTTTGTTGTTGCTTTTTTTTGTTTTTTTTCGTCGAACTTTAACACTGAAATGGAGCAGCGACTGCGCCCAGTTCTATGGGCAGTCGGACAACTTGATGAGTGGCTGCTGGCTAAACAAAATGTTGCAATCAACGAGGCGATTGTTGTTGCTGTTGTTGTCATCACCTGCGGCAACTTTGTCATTGTGTAGTTTTTATTTTTTCTATGCTTGTCTCGCTGCAGCAGCAGCATTTTAAACTGGGTTAAAAGCACAAACGACACGCAAAAATGTGATGACAATTCGCCAAGCAAGCGACTCGAGAGCTCCAGGCCGAGAGCCGCGAGCTGAGAGCTGAGAGCTGAGACACATCCAAGCGGAGCAAAACTTACTCGACTCAAATCATGATGTGGTTCATTCCTGTTATTAGAACAGATCCAGCAGCACAGAACAGAACAGAACAGCCCATAATATAAACACATTAGCACATTAGCTCAATCAAATGACAGATGATCTCTGAAGGGGGTATGAGTCGGCGCTTTGGCAGCACAAGAAGTTCTACTACGTTTCAGAGTTGCTTATATGGAGTAGCTGGAGTTGTGTGTGTTCTCAATGCGTTGAAGAAGAAGCAGGTGAGGTAATTTACTGTAGCTTGCGAAAAAAAAGAAAAACGACCTTAGACACACATACATATATGCGTCTTGTTTACTAAGTACCTGACAAACCTCCTTGCAAATAAATTAAGCATTAGACTTAGATTTTTCTAACTTGAGAGCATATTATTTAATGGAAGGTTATGGGCAAATAAAATGTTCAAGCTAGGCATATAATTGCTCCTTGCAAACTGACTGGCAAACTGGCTTAACAATATATCAATTATTATAAACATTATAAGCTCTGGAAACTCTGGAAGTGTAGAAGAAAGCAGCAAGAAAATTTAAAGTGTGTAGCATATCCCCCTATAAACTGACTGGCAAACTTCATGGTAAAATAACTAATAGATTGATAATGAAATTAAATCTCCTAAATAGATCGGCTGATTTTAATTGTATGTACATACATATATATGAATAAATGTGTATGTATATATATTTTGTTTTATAGCCTTGGACTAAAAGACGAAGAAACGCTGCAGCTTGAATACAATTACACAAAACTAACATCTCCATCTGCCTTGTAAGTTGTCTGGCTTAGTTACAAATTATCTTGCCAATTTTTCAACCAGTCGATGATTTATACGCTTTAACTGAGAGAAGACGAATCACTTAATTATTTAACTAAAACTTTAAAAGCAAAGGCTATACTATGTATACATATTAGATAATTTTGATTTTTAAATTTAATTTTTAATTTTTGATATAACTAAAATAACTACAATATTTTTTTATTAACTGACAATTTATTTCCAAGCTCAAGTCCCAATCATGTATATGGATATAAGAATATCTTTTCAAAGCAGGGGAGTAAAGACTCATATTCTCCTGTACCTCGAGTTTTAAAGAAAGATGCTCTGCTGAGGCAGCGAGGTAATTAATGGAAGTGTTTCTGATCTATCTAACCTGTACTTGTCTTATATCTTAATCAGTTCGCTTAAAGTTCTAAGCAGCTGCCATTGCCACACTTGAGCCCCAAAAGGCGCTACAAATGCAAGCAACCAAAATCAGTTTATATATGGCCATGCAACATGTTTGGCAACATGTTTTGGTTTTTCGACTACGAGGCGGGGGCATCCATATTAACAGAGGGCGGGTGGGCGAGGGGGCAGCTGGCCCACATACGACGAAAATTGTGCGTCGGTTGAAGCGGGATTTGTGGCACGATCCACTTTGTGGCATCGACGGCTGCTGCTCCAATTTGCTGACCATTTGGCATACTTAAAGCCGTTGTTGTGGCATGCAAATGCTTGTGCAACGGCATCACAGCATGCAGCATGCGGCATGCGGCATGCGGCGGGCAGCATCTGCTAGAGTCCAAGAATTATTTGAGCTGCAACTGCAATTTGGTGCACTTGGCGAGCCGCGGCCACAATTGCCACAGTTGCATAACCTGTATTAGTTGTTATTACCGTTTTGTGGCATCCACGGCAACTTTCTTTGCCAGCGAATTGCCATTGATCGATAGACCAAACGCATCGAAAGCCCTAAGCTTCGTGCTCGCAAGCTTTGCCACTTGCCAAAAAAAAAAAACACACAGAGACAAGACACGAAAAAAGCGCAGCAAGTGGCAGCGCAGCTGGCAGCGCTGCGCCTGCAGTCAGTGCGACGCTTAGAGCTCACAGCTTACAGCTTACAAGACGCACAACGCGACGGCGCAAACTTTCAGTTGCTTTCGAGCTGCACAAGACGACGGTTGGTTTTTTTTTTCTACCAAGCACTAGTTGCCAAACTATATAGAGAGAGCAAGCGAGCGAGTGAGAGAGTCGAGAGAGCGAAACGTGAAAAGTGAAAGAAATCGTCTTCGTCTTCGTCTTTAACTTCGGCTTCGGCTTAGCTGCGGTTGCGCGTGCGTCGCTTCGTCTTAGGCACGTGAAAGAGAGGGAGGGAGAGCTTGAGCTGAGAGCTGCGGCGAAGTCGCTTTAAGCTCAACTTCGACTTCGAGTTCGACTTCGGCTTCGACCACGAATTCAGTTGCCGTGCAGAACGCGAAGCGAACGGAACATCGCGGCTGTTCGATCACAAATTCCATTAATTTTTTTCTTGTTTGCTCATTTTTAACACGAAATTCAATCGCGTCTAACGGTCTGACGCGCCTAACGGTACGCGCCTGGTGATCTACAAATTGTGCTCATTTAATTGCCAATTCTTTTTGTTTTCTTTTTTTTTATATATATAAATAAAAACATCAATATATAAATATATATTTTTTAAATTTTTTTTTTTTTTTTTTTTTGTGTGCCAAGGATAAACGAGTTGAGCGCGAACTGACACACTTTCCAGGTGCGCGCGTACACCTGTTTTCCCAAATTGTACTCAATTTCGACTTATTCCTGTGTTTCTTCCATTTACCAATTCTCTCTACCCAGGCATGTTGAAACATTTATAACATTTGCACATTTAACAACGAGTTTCGTGTAAACAAAGTCAGCGAAAAGCAAAGCAAATTAAATTCTGCAAAGAAAATACAACAACAATAACAACAAATTCATGTGAAAACAAATTGCAAATTCTAAGAAGGAGAAAAGTTTCCCAAAAAAAAAAATTAAATAAATAAATAAATAAACCAAAAAAAAAAAACGAAACTAAAACAAACATCAGAAGAAGAAGAGGAGGACGCAGCAACAGCTGAAGATCAAGTGAAGTGAGCGACAAAATGCAACGCACGCAGTCGCGGTCGCTGCCGCTGCTGCTGCTGCTGCTGCTGCTAACGACAGCACAGACGCAGACGCAGGCACAGGCGCAGGCGCAGAATATAGGTGAGTGTGTCAAGCGAAAGACGAAAAGACGAAAAGCCGAGAAGCGGCGAGACCAAGAAGCAGCTGCCTAGACGCAAAATAACAAAAACAAAATAAGCAAAAACCAGCAACAACAACAGCAACAAAAATACAAAACAAATTTTCTCTTACGGCTGCTGCTGCTTTGGCTGCTTCTGCTGCTTTCGGCTTCATCTTTCTGTTCATTTTTGGGAAGGGGGACTTAAAAAGTCAATTTTTTTGCATACACTTTTGTCGCCGAGTTTTTTTGGATTTCCGGTTCTGGTCGAAACAAAAGCTTGTGCACCTTTTTTCCCACGTTCATAAACCGAGCAGCAGCAACAATAACAACAATAACAACAACAACACCAAGAGTCCAGTCAAGTGCCGGCGACTGGTCAACTTGTTGTTGCTGCTATTGTTGCCGCTCGCTTTATATCGGTCAGCTTTTGTGCTCGTTAATTGTTTCGTGGGATACGCGCGACAAATGAAACGGAGAAACGGCCAAAACTGCCCCGAGACTCATATGCATATTGCAAGTACAGTGGGCACACGCTAGCCTCAAAAAACTAAAAAGAGTTTCACTGAGAGGGAGAGAGAAGGAGCATTCCATTTGGTATATGCGTACAGTAAATATATTGTATAATATAAACATCCTGTAAAACTCAATGTAACTGTTACGGTATATTGACAATATATTGACTATGTTTTCATACTCACTCAAACATGCCAGCAAGTGAGAGACATATTATTTCATAACTTTCCATTCCAATTTGAACTTTTCTTTATATGTTTTATAATATTTCTTGAGTAAACTTTTTATTTAGTTTACTGCACAATTTTATCGAAATCAAATCACCAAAAAAATTGTGAAATTAGAATATATAGACACATTATCTGCAAAAATTAAACAGTGGGATACAAAGAGCTTCTAAAGGTAGTTCAGATGAGACAGTCCTTAGCCTATTTATATATAATATCAATTGAAGCATTTGAAAGTATTCTTTCCATATATAGTATCTCTCTATATGACCTATAGTCTATATCATATATAGTCTCAATTTTAGCAATTGCTCTTTTTTCATCTCTCTCTCTCTCTCTCTCTTTCTTTCCCTCTCTCTCTCTCTCTCTCTCTGTCTCGCTCGCTCTATTTCTATTCCATTGCATATGTAGTTTCAATTGAAATGATCGTTAGTTCTCCTTGCATTACTTTCATCATTTTGTCATTGATATTACGAGTCTCTTGACTGGCTTCTCCTGCCTGCACCAATTCACTTGTTTGTCATAGCCAGTGTATACTGTGCATACTACGTAAGCGCAGTCTGTTTGGCTAGTGGGCGTGCCCGGCAATGTTGACCGCAGGAAACGGATGTTTGTTTGGGTCAGCAAGCAGAAATAGCTGCAACAGCAACGACTCAGAGCTGGACAACCAAATGTGTCACAAGCGAAAGAGAAGGAAAAAAAACAAAAGACTTAGGCAACAAACTTGCTGCTGCTGCTGCTGCTGTCGTTGCTGTTGGTGCTGTTGCTGCTGCACGTGGCAGCGTCACCTGACTGAAAGGCAAGCAGCGCAACCTGTTGTGCCGTTCTTGTCTCCAATTACCAAACCGAGCTGCTGCACGTGGCAACAGATCGAGTTACAGTTAAACGTGCTGCGCGACAGGCAGGGTGGGCGGGGCGCAGGGCCAACGCCTTGAACTTGAGAACAAAGAACAACTTACGATCGCTTCAACTTTTACTGTTATCCACAAAAAAAAAAAAAAAACCTTTTGTTTTCTCTTGTTTTGTTGGGGAGGTTCGTAACGAGTCCATTAAGGCATAACTCAATAGCCGTGGCATCATAAAAGGAAATCAAAGGAACGCTAAGCACACCTCGGGCTGGAACAAAACTGTCCCAAAAATTTAAATGTTATCAGTGAGGCTGAATTACCGTTAGGGGCAGGGAAACGCACAAAAACTAAAACGGTGGGAAATGCTTTGTAAGAGATTAATTTAAATTACAAATCAAAAACAAGAGACGGAAAAGCCCGCAAGAAAATGCTAAAGCAATCAAGAAGAAACAAAAAGAGATAGAAATGAAAAATACAGTGAGCGTTAATAACAACAACAACAACAGCAACAATAACAAATTGTACAAGATATTAAAATAAAATTTACGACCAGCCAAAAAATTTCACAACAACAGAAAAACAGAAGGAAAGAAAAAAGCTTCGGGTTTGTTGTTGTTGTTTTTGTATTTGCCTCAAATGGGAAAGTTTTTAATGTATATGATATATACTAATACATTGATATATATATGTATATGTGTATCTAGTTTTTTTTTCTCAGCACAATTGTATTTCATATTGTGTTGACAATAAGAAAAGTAAAAGTGCAAACAGAGTGAAGTGAAAAGGCAAAAAAAAAAAAAAAAATGAAACAAACGAGGGGAAAAAACATTGTGGAAGAAGCTGCAGCCGAGGCGGCGCATTACGTACCTTCCACATTAGATGATGGGATGACTGGGCTGCGATGGGTCTGTCTATACGATAATGGCCAGGGCTGATGTACAACAGCTCATGCTGATCATTAACGTAATGATCATTAAATTGCATTGCGGAAGCTGTGCGATTTTAATTGCAATGCGAAAAGCGAAGCTCGCAAAGATACATAACTCACAAGAGCTATTATGTTGATGCTCCATGTCGATGCCACGGCTCATTTGTGCAACACACACCACACACACACACATATCGTCATCATCTATTTGGAGGCGTGGCACAATGTGCGCGCATGCGTGCAAGCATCAGCCTTTTGCTTTTCATCATATTATTAATATTATTTTTGTGGTCTGAGGCTAAAAACTCTCCCAAACGAGGCGGCGGCTGCCCGTTTGCCCTTACATAAGCGCGGCCAAACAACAAACTGGCCCAACGAGGAAGTCAAAATAAACAGAGTTGAGGAAGCCAAAAAGGCGGCAACCGTAGGCGTGTATCACGCACTTCAGCGAGACAAACCGCACTTGCGTCTCTCTCCCTCTCCCTCTCCCTCTCTCTCAGTCTCTGTCTCTGTCTCTGTCTCTGTCTCTCTGGCGGCCACCGCAACCCAGACGAGAGCTGGGGATAAGCCTCAGACCAGATGTTAGAGTATCCTTTACCTCTCATCCATTACCAACTAGTTGCTTGCATAAGCCATCTCTTATGCAATGCACAAATAAACATACGCAAAAGTATTAACTATCTGCTTAACATGTTCATAAATTACTATAAAAGTTTCAACAGTTTTCGCATACCGAATTACATGGCTATAACTCACAATATTCTTTCGTTCACTGATCCCGATTAAATAATTGAATCTGATAGAAAAATTTTCAAATTCCACTTAGTATGCATTGATATATCAATATTCAAAACTCTAAACTACAACAGTTTCTGAGTTTCTTGGAAACACTAACTTTTTATTATTAAAATCACAGTTATTATCTGTTTTTCTTCCAAATTATCGTAAAAGTTAAGTTAAATATTGAAATGATACGTCCTACTTTAATTTCCATAGCTTTAGCTCCGATATATGCAGAGTTTCTTGAGAACATTAACAGCTTCAACTGAAAATCTTAAGCAAAATGCAAAAACATCTCCACATCGTATTCACACAAACAAAATTTGATTGCTCCAGCTCAAATAGATGCTGAGTTCTTTGAGAACATTATTTATAATCTCGTGTATTATCACCTGTCCAATAATTTTACAGCACTAGTTATTAACCAATCTTTATACATTACTCACATTCCTCTTTTTCTTAGCTCTAGCTCAAGCAGATCCCGAGTTCTTTAAGAATATTATTGAAAATCATTATATTATCAGTTTTCCAATAAGTTGCTTAACTACATCTCTTTATACGCTATTTAAGTACCAATTTTGATAGCTGTAACTTTAATAGGTCCTCGGTTCCATGAGAACGAACTTGTGTTTAGCTCACTTTGCTCCCTCGTTAACCTTGCACAAGACTTCAGTGCTTTATTTGGGGGAGTTACGTTAATCAGCGCTTAATGAATTTGATTAGTGTTTTCATTGATAATGAGCTCATTTGGGGAGTGCGACAAAGTGTCGAGGGCACAAACATTGCGCAATTGTCGCGCACTTGCTCCATGGAATGGCTCTCAATAGTCGCGCATGTTCGACATCACAACTTTACGCAATTCGAGTTCATTTTTGTTATTTTTCGGCTTTTGAATAAATTTCAGGTGCAATCATCAGACGCCTTGGCACGTAGCGAGGGAGTGGGGCACGCTCTCTGCTGTGTGTGTGTGTGTGTGTAGAGCATGGAGTGTGGAGTGAGGCAAGTATGGAATGAAAATGGAAATGAGACACTGCACAACTTGCGCAAGCTGCAAAGTGGCCTTGCCAGAGACTCCACACCAGGGAAACAAGACGTCACTTATTTAGCTGACGTCTGTGTGGGTCGCTGATTGAGACGAAGAGTTCGTCGAGGGAGAGAGCGAGTGGGATTAGTCTTATGGAGGCTTACAGATCAATGCATGAGATGGCAGCAGGAAAACACTCTAGTTCAATCAAATAAATTTCAGGCTAGACTCTATGAGAAGCCGATCGATCGAAAAGTCAAAGATCAGCAGATTCGAAGATCAAAAGATAGGCATAAAGATCACATTGCTTTTTCGTAATATTCTCTTTTCACACCTGAAACAAACAAATACAAGTTAGACAATCAACGATGAAAGCCTATAAAAACCAAAATTGGACATAATGAAACATTGATCACCGATCAAAAGAATCACGATCAGTCTGTCAGTTCGACAAAAGCTATGCATAGAAATGGGTTAATAAATGAAAACTCGAGCAGTTATACAAATGTAGTCTTTGTTCATGCAGATCAAAGATCACACTAACGATCAATCTTACGTCACGATCCTCAACGGGCCTTTAGAAGATTATATAAACATCATATGTTAGTATAGTAAGACTAAATATATATATATATATATGCATAATTTATAGAATGTAGAA